ACTAAGGCACCAAAAAGATTAAAGTAACATTTGGGTTAACACATGTTATTGCAAAAGTGACACTAGAAATACTATGTTAAGAAAAGGCATTTAGTATGAGGAGTAATGAATAAACATCACAGTGAGTTGACTGGGACTGAATGAGTTAACTGTGCATCCGGCATATAGTTCTAAGCCATATGTGTACAGACCAAGCAGCACTCGATACGTGAAGTGGTTAACATCATGCCAACCACCTTTATTTCCCGTGACACTTCCTAGCACCTATGTAAGGCTGAGTTGTCATGTGAACCATAAATGAATACTGAAAATTCACCTCGATGAGGATACGAATCCAAGACATTACAACTTCTCCCTCTACAGCACCATATCGCCTCTCCCTCTACTACACCATATCGCCTCTCCCTCTACAGCACCATACCCCCTCTACTACACTATAGCCCCTCTACTACACTTTATCCCCTCTCCAGCACCATATCCCCTCTCCCCCTACTACTATATCTCTTTTCCCTCTACAGCCCTATATCGCCTCTCCCTCTACAGCACCATATCCCCTCTCACTCTATTACACTATATCACCATATCCCCTCTCCCTCTACAGCACCATAGCCCCTCTCCCTCTACTACACTATATCGCCTCTCCCTCTACAGCACCATATCCCCTCTCACTCTACTACACTATATCGCCTCTCCTCTACAGCACCATATCCCCTCTCACTCTACTACACTATATCCCCTCTCCCTCTACAGCACCATATCCCCTCTCCCTCTACTACACTATATCGCCTCTCCCTCTACAGCACCATATCCCCTCCTCCCTTCCCACATTTGTGTAACCATGTATATCTATTCTCTGCTGAAGTCTGTGTTTAAACATGGCATATTATTCCAAATTTACTATTATATTTAATCACCATTCAACACAGTGTTGTTATGATTCTTGCTATTTTATTATTAGGCTCTTAAACTAGGATTATGCATCTTGAGGCTGAGACCTAGCATGTCGTTCCAAAGATTTTATGTTGGAATCCGCCTCCAGTCGGGAATTATTTTTTTTTTTTTTATTATTATTTTTATTTTGGGTGGGGGAGTGGAAATTGACCTTTCCATGATCGATCGACCCAGTCACAAATAGGCACCTGACTTGGAAAGCAAAGGTGGCCGCCGGCTTGATGCTGGCAAGATCACCACCCAGTGCCGACTGGTATATAAAAAAACCTAGCATCAGATGCTAGAATCGAGGCACCTCTGATGTCTTCTTCTTCATTCTTCACATGCAGCAGTTGTAAACTCTGGCGGAAAGTTCTGGTTGTTCGTCCACTTCTGGACTGCAGTCCTATTCCGGAACCTGAGTGTTGCATGTGCATCCGTTTTACAGATCTGACTCATTTGTATGCAGACTGCTGGCCTCTTGCCTCTCAGGCAGATGCACTCCGAGTTTGAAAAAAGCTCCCAGTTAGTCAACTCTTACAAAGTTACGACTTGCTTTTTGGTAGGCAGTGGGCTTATTACTGTTTTCCCTATAATAGGGCTCGGGAACCCACACGGGGAGCCACTGATGCAAGAAGGAAAATGTTCGACACGTAGTTGTCCTAGCCTTTCACGTCGACATACGATATTTTCATGTTATAATATGACTAGCAGATCTTGGTATTTGCGTGCAGACTGGAGGTCTCTCTGGCGAAGAAGTCAAGCCGTTTGCCTCTCGCACTGAAGGTCGTAGGTTCGTTTCACGGCCGCGTGGTTCAGTTCACGGGTGCAATTTTTCTGGAGACCTATGGGGATCGTCGTCGGAGCTACGGAGTTTGTGCTCCGTGCAATACTTCCCGGGCCGACTATCCGTTATGAGGAGTGAGACAGAGCCATATGGAATCAAATCCGGGGCAGTGAAGTCGATCCTCTCCACTTTAATCAGTTCTTTGTGTGTGTGTGTGTGTGTGTGTGTGTGTGTGTGTGTGTGTGTGTGTGTGTGTGTGTGTCTTGTTAGACTGTCAATTCCTCGCCTCTCGGGAAGATGCGCTCAGATTTCGAAGGAAGCCGCCATATCTGTCGACTTTTATAACATGCTCGTTTGAATGCTTCTTGTGTGCTGTCCTATTCTTCTGTTCCCTATAACAGAGCCCCGAAATCCACACGGAAGCGAGGTAATGAGACTACGGTTGTAGGGCCGAGAGGCTTGTGCGGTCACCAAGAACTCTGCAGGTTAGAATTTCCAGTTTTGATCCAGCGACAGAAACAATCTGCCTTCATCCTGTTGAGGATTCAGGGGCCGCCGTGGTGGATGCTCGCTTACGGATGTGAAGGTCTAGGTTCAGGTCCTAACGGAGCCAGACTTGTTTTTCAAAAATGACCTTGGCTGGCAGCTTGACCCAGCCTTTAAGGGGAAGCAGGTAAAGTCCTGGGAAGTAAAGGCTGCCATCGTGATGTTGACACCATCACCCATCGAGCGCCGGTTACATAAAATATACAGGTCTAGCCCTATATGCCCAAGACTTCTAAAGGCGTGGGAAATGGTCATTAACTTTTTTTTTAACTACCGAGGATTCGTTCAGGGTCCCTTGAATGACAGCCGTCCGCTTAAAGTATCTTCTGGTCGGGTATGAAGGAGTAGAAAGTGTAGACGGAGTTTACAGCCGGTGAACGCAAAGAAAAATAAGATTAGCTTAGTTATCCTACGTGACTCGTCTATCTATGGGGTAATTAAGTTCTAGCAGTAATCCTTATTAGTATTTTTTGGACACTCGTCAGTGCAATGAGACCACCAACACGGGTAGCGATCAAGTAGGTTTGAGGTTTGAACAACGGATTAACATCATGGCGCGCGGGTAGTAACCCATAAGTGCTCCGTTCTTCTTCTAACTCAAGTCTTGAGTCTGAAGAAGCTCAACACAGTGCACAGGCTCTGTAGCACCGGCGAGGATCCTGAAATACTTTAGTTAGATTTTTAACTCCAAAATTTGCCCGGGCAGCGCCGTTAGGATACTCTTTTCTAATTCCAACCGCCAAGGGATTATTTACGTGTGCATTTACGTTTGCAACAATGCACGCGGACGTCCGATCTCACTACCCAAAGACCGGGGGGGGGGGGGGGGGGGGGGGGGGGTTCTAGAAGTCCAAGTCCACGTGACAAAGTTCCAGCCCTTACCGGGAATGAAACCAGGAACCTCTAGCACTCTAGGCGGACACACCATGACTGGAGACCACGCAGACCCCTGATCAAGTAGGTACACAGGGAACAGTAGGCAATATACAGAGAGTCACGCAAAAGTTTTGTCATTTTCCCTCAATTAAGCTTTGTTAACAGTATTTTCTGTTGTGTGTGTTAGTTGTTTTTGGCTATTATTTCTTTGTTTAATTAGTTGGCTCGTCGGCTAGTTGATTTACATTTTCTCAGGGTGGTAAAACTTTGAGGTGGTAGGCTAAAGGAGACAAACGTAACGGAAGAATCAAGCAATTTAACCAGGCTCTTTGTAACGTGATTTATTTAGTGTAATTCGTAAATCATCAGGGAAGGCTCACTCATGGGCCACTCAAACATCCAAGACCTACAACAGATTGCAACGAACCGCCATGCATGGAGAGTCATGACCTCTGCCCTATGTGCCGCACTCGACACAAGAGGAAAGACTAACTAACTAACTAACTAATTCGTTGTCTTATGAATAATGTAATGTCATCAGGTGTGTTATGAACAACAGTCCGTGACCAGGTGTCAAACAAAAAATTTGATGTGACCTGGTATGTTATTAACCATGTTCTGTGACCCAGTATCGCGTGAATAATTTACTGTAAGAAAATAACATATGACATTGTTATTCTTTTAAAAAATGTATGTGGTCTTATTAGCGATGTAATCCGTGTTAACTGCAAACATGCAGCTGGTCGGACTGTTAGAAGCCGGTCTCTCACAGAGCAAACAGAGTCTGACAGTTTCAACTCCAGGAAAGACAAAACGGCACTCTTCCGAATACCGGTCCCAAATTATTCACTGAGAAAATTATTTTTTTTTCTCAAACATGTGGCCCTGGATCCCACACGGCCCTGGATCCCAGTTACTGTGAACAATGGATCAAAAACTATTCCCCCCCCCCCCCTCACTCCCATATCGCTATAATGCATTGAAAACTACTCCTCCCCACAACGCTTCAACATTGGATCAAAATTTATTCTTCCTTACAATACTTAAATGGATCGAGAACTATTCCTCCCTACCTACTGCGCTTAGCTTAACGTCTAAACATTGCTATCCTTCGTGCTATAACGGCAGAATTGTAAACTGATCATGGGGGCCTAAATGTTGTTACTACAGTACATAACCTCTTGACGCTCCCAACGGGATGTTTTTCGCAGTGAATAATTTGGGACCGGTATTCGGAAGAGTGCCGACAAAACAGTTTATGTCTACAAATAGTTATTGGTTACAGTCTACTGTCTACATTAGTCAGCACTGCCCATATACGACACATAGTTATCTACATTATGTAATACAATCCATATGGGATTTTTGTTATGCTACATACAGTAGTCAATTAAATCCACATTAAATACACATAATATGGTTATTTTATGTAGTCAGCACAATCCATACAGTCACACAATATAACATAATATGTTATCTTTAGTCAGTAGTCAACACAATTTCTTCCTTCCACCCACACCCTTTATCTCTCACACACCTGCATACACACAGACGCACATCAATTGTCATCTTCAAATCCATACAGGACATAAGTAATGGTATGCCATCTCAGTAATGGTATTTCACCGGTTAAAAATAACGATGTGTGAATTTGAATACACCAGATAGCTGTTTCAAGTAGGCAACGGTAATACTTATGTAGTCTAAATGCGTTAATTAACTGCAGTAGTTAAGAGTAAACAAAGTTAATATTTTGATATAATCTGAATGACTAAATAAATTGATATCTCTAAATTAATGGCATAGGAAACCTATTTTATTAATTTCATTTATAAGGAGAAAGAGAAAAGGAAATACTCACCAGATATCGCCGTTATAGGTACTTCATTTTCATCAAATCCTTTTTCAGTATAGGCCTTTTTCACTTCTATACAAGCTGTGTTTAAATTAAGACACCGGCCGTAAAAAATCACTAGTAATAACACACATGTTCTTAAACACTGCGCTACGCCAACAGACAGGCTTGAAGCGTCAGCCATTTTCTATACTAGTTCTATTTGTATATATACAATACGTCAATTATTCCTAAATTTAATAGTAATTCCAGATTGGAATTATATCACAGAAAATATCAACAGCGCTTCTTGATATGGAAATATTCAACACACAACATTGCTGTATAATTTACTGATTATCTTCACAGCTATTCACACTACGGTTATTTGCACATTCGTTTCGTTCCACAATGAAATCCTGAAACTATTTCTAATTTCCACCGCCAGCGATTTCGGTATTCTAAAGCAGGTCAGCTGTTCATTTAATCTCCGACGTAAACAGCCGTTTCTTATTGTTGTGTTTGGTCTTGTTAAAGCTCTTTAATGTAATATTTTATGAATATTTATGAAATACATTATTCACATTACTAAATTTTTAGATTTTAGATCGCAACAAACGCCTACAGGTAAGTTTACTACTTAGAAAGTGTAAAATAAAACTCAGAGGGAGGGAAATCTACTCGCCCAAAAAATCCCTTGGTCTGAACTCCGTGCCTGTGATTGGTGGATATTTTGGGCCAGTCGTGGCGCTGGCTGGCGAACCTGCGAGCCATGAACAGCCCCATTAACCCTCGTCTTGACAGGTCTGGAGAAAGACTTTCAGGTGAAATTTTGTTATCTTTCCTCAATTAGAAGGTGGAGCAACCAGGAGAAAGAAGGAACACCGGATACCCAATTTATGTGTGCAGGCAGAGTGGTTGGGATAGGGGGGAGGGGAACCTGGTGGCTCAACTCTTGTTCTAGCCACATGTTATGTTGCGCCAAAGGAAGGAAGTAAGTAAATATTACGCCACCGGGACATCACACAGAGCCATAAATACCCAGTGACACAAAGTGCCACCATGCGGATGAGGATCACATGTGGAGATGTCCCAGAAACCCTTTTCAACCGTTAGACCATATTTATGGCCCGACTATATTTAGGGCCCCCGGCAAAAGCCAGGGTGGGGCTTCAACTTCGTTGTCAAAAAGAATGCATAAATCGTATTCGTATTACTACTACTGGCTCTGTGGCTAAGTCGATGCGAACGCTTCGCTTCGAAATGCCGGGATGCCGGGTTCGATCCCAATTGCCGGCAATGCGCCTTGCGTTGGTTTCGACAGTGCTATCAAGAAAGCTGACCGTCCAGAAAGCAATGGCAAACTACTGGACGTATGCCAAGAGAAACCACACAACAGCCAGGGGCTGTTACGGTTGTTTCTGCAACATCCTGTAAAGGATACGCAATTAACTTTTTTATTACTATTATTATTACTACTACTACTACTACTACTACTACTACTACTACTACTACTACTACTGTTATTATTGCTATTATTATACGCTAAATTGTCTTTTTCTTTTCATCCGCAAGTATCATTTTATAATAAAGCTTAAAAGTGACATGGTATAAGTAAGTTAAAGGCATGACTTTGAACTGGGGAGGTTTCGTCGTGTCTACACAGGCAGAGTGCATCGTTATTATACTTATTACACGTGCTATAATCATGGGAGGTTCAACTGCTCATCTGTGATTTGTCTTAATGGATTGATGTCCAGAATCCGGTTTATCGGGTCGCGGGGCTTCAAGTAGTAGTAGTAGTCGCAACAGCAGCAGAAGTTTTGTTATTCTTGTTCTAGTAGTAGTAGTAGAAGTAGTAGTAGTAGTAGTAGTAGTAGTAGTAGTAGTAGTAGTAGTAGTAGTAGTAGTAGTAGTAGTAGTAGAAGCAGCAGCAGCAGCAGCAATAGTAGCCGCAGTAGTGCCAGTAGTAGTTATAGTAGCAGCAGCAGTAGTAGTAGCAGCAGCAGCAGTAGAAGAAGGAGAAGATGAACAAGATCCGCCATAAAAGATACTGAGACATAAGGACGGCCACTATCAGCTTTCTACGCTACTTGGAATTGTTTGTAGCGTGCAGAATTATTGGTGAAATTGTTAACAGAATGATTTTTAAACAGTACAAATTGTGACAATATGCCCATAGAACATCACATTACTGAAATTTAGGTAGGGAGTCGCCGTGGTGGGGTAGGTAACGCTAGCCTGATGATTGAAAGGTCGTGGGTTCGCTCCCTGGCGGAGCCGGACTTTTGTTCAAAAATGACCTTGGCTTCCAGGTCGACCCAACCTTGAGTGGGTACCAGGTGCAGTCCCGGGAAGTAAAGGCGGCCGGCGTGATACTGACCACATCACCCATCTTGTGCCGTTGGTCTATCAAAATATAGGTCTAGCCCTATATGTCCTAAACGCCTAAAGGCGCGGAAAAGGGGCATTTTACTTTTTTTCTTTTCACTTTTTTTTTTCGTAAGAAATGGAGGTGTGCTCTTAAGCAAAGACACAATCGCCTACTAGAAAAAAGCACACACTGGGCGACAAAATCTCTGATCTAGTTATGATGGGAAGAAGTTCCCGCGTGGGTTCCGTAACCATATAGTAGGGAAAACAAGAATAGACCCACTGCCTCCCCAACAAGCTTGTCGTAGGAGCCAACTAACTGGGGATTTTCTTCGAAGTAGTAGTGCAACTTTCTGAGAGGAGAGCTACCAACAGTCTACATACAGATAAGTCAGATTTGTAAAACGTATATGCACGCAGCACTCGAGTTCTGGAACAAGTCTAAACCCCAGAGGTGGTTTCGGAAGTCCAAAGTCCAGAACTTTCTACCGGAGTATACAACTGGTGAGCGCAGCGAAGAAGAAGCTGATGATTACAGAGATAAAGAAACAGAAGATGGTGCTTTGGAAGTTTAGCAAGAATAGGAGTTTGGGGAGACGGAATCAGGAGGTTGAAGAACTCTTCCCTCCAGTCTTAAACACACATCCATTGAAAACCTACACTTGGCAGAGACAGAGATAAGCTACGCAAACAAAACAGCCAGAATACCATAACTTGTAGCAAGCAACCGGATACCACAGATCCTCGCCACTACAAATCCCTTTCTTTGCCAGAATTAACGCCTCGGCGACTTTGACCAATTGCCTGATAATGTGACCAGTCCCGTGGTGAAAATTGAAACGCATTCCTAAATACCGGATACCAAATAGGTGTCCAGCCAGAGAAAGAAACGTGAACAATCCACAACCACCCCGCCTAGACAGACACGTTGTGAGGGGGAATGTATTTTGTGAATGGGTGAAGACTAAGCCATTGAAAGCTACTGGAAATTCCTCTCTATTCATAGCTACCAGCGGAATCTAGCATGAAAAGCGAGGCCTATCAGTAAAAGACATTATGTCCCGGGTACTTGAGATGCGGAAGTACCTCTTTCTTTTCAGTACCAGACATACCGTAGAAGGGGAGAGAACAATGAGGATAAACCAAACAAGGGGACACAACAATTATCACTTGTGAAATCAATTATGTTTTATTCCTTTCCTACACGGGAAGGCGATAGAGTATTTTTTTCTCACGATAAATCTCTATGCAGTCTATCTATCTATCTATCTATCTATCTATCTATCTATCTATCTATCTATCTATCTATCTATCTATCTATCTATCTATCTATCTATCTATCTATCTATCTATCTATCTATCTATCTATCTATCTATCTATCTATCTATCTATCTGTCTATCTATCTATCTATATATCTATCTATCTATCTATCTATCTATCTATCTATCTATCTATCTATCTATCTATCTATCTATCTATCTATCTATCTATCTATCTATCTATCTGCCTGCCTGCCTGTCTGTCTATCTGCCTGTCTGCCTGTCTGTTTCTTCTTCTTCTCCTCCTCCTCTGACCCGCTCTAAAACAGTTGCCTACCCCTCCCCCCACAGTTTAGCTTCAGGTAACTGCAGAGGTACTGTTAAAAAAAACTGTTGTATGGTTGGTTGTACGGGGTTGTCGGAATGTGACCCTGTTTGATTTCTAATCCATGACGTAGCAACCATAGAGACATAAATCCTGGAGCCGAATGATTACCTACCTATCAGTCTGCCCTGAGTGGTTTTGAGGTATGTCATCAGCCTCCAATACTGGGGGTCCCAGGTTCAAACCCCGCTGAAAGCTGGGATTTTTTTTTCACGTAGACTTCTTGTAATTCTCTGGGTAGTAAGACCAGACGCCCTTGTGCATTGTTGCGCACGTAAAAAATCCCTTGGCAGTTGGAAATTGAAAAGAGTGGCCTAACGGCGCTGCCCGGCAAAATTTGGCGTGAAAAATCTAACCAAAGTATTTCATGATCATCGCCGGTGCAACGGAGTTCGTGCACAGCGCTGAGTTCCATCAGACTCATGCTGGAGTTTGAAGTAGAACGAAGCACTTATGAATTAGACCCGTGTGCCATGATGTTGATCTGTTGAATAAGCAAACAAACAAACAAATAGTCTGTCCGTCCATCCTCCATTCTTCTTCTGCTTCGTCTTCTTCTCTTGCTGCCCATCCACATGTTGATTACTTGGTCCAGTGGTAGCTTGTTATTTACTGTGGATTGGATCCTGGGTATATACAAAAAGGCCACCTGTCTCCAGCTCTGTTTAAATGTTTTCTTTGTGTCGGCGCCTGTGGCCTTGCCCGAGGATTTACGCTGCTGAGCTAAAGAGCGGAGTTTAAAGCCAAAGCCAGCCAAACTACCTCCAGAGCGGGAAACATCTCAACCTATTCGCCATGGAGACCTGAATAATTTGTTAACATCAGCCAAGTCACATAGTAACAGATACAGCCCGCGGCACTATCCGTCTGGGAACGTGTTCACCTCTGTGTAAACTGTAGGCCTACGTTCAAATCCTCAATCAAACTGTCAATCAATCAGTCACTGAAACATTTTTATGAGCACTTTTTCTTTTCAGCGAGAGTCCAGGGAGCGGGGATTTCCCGTCCACTTAAGTCTTGACCTTATGACCTTAACGGAATCTTATCCTCGCTTGACCTCAGAGCTGACCTAACGGTGTGGTTACATCCGGAATGCTGTCTTATCTCTCCATTTGTGAGCTCAGAGTGTTGCCATTGTATATTTTATGGATAACTGTTTGGGGCGAACGAGGCTATCAACACTGGT